TAGGCCTGCTCCGGCATTCTCTCTACGCCATCTCCGCCGTCGATTCGGGACTTTTCTCCGCCGTTTTGCAGTTTCAATCCGATGAGATTGTATCCTGGAAAGTCTCTCTCGCCGTCTCCAGTAGCTCCGTTTGCTTTGACGGTAATCTGGGGAATCTATCTCATGCTCGTGCCGCGGCGATTGGACCTAGGGTTTACGTTGTCAGTAGAAATGCGGTTTTGAGATACGATTCGTGGTTGGGTACTCTTACCTTGAGGTCTCCGATGATTTTCCCTCGCAAGAAATTCGCAATCGCTGCGATTTCCGGTAAGATCTACGTCGCTGGAGGCGGTGGTGGTGGTTTGGAAGTCGCGGCTGCGGTTGAAGAGTACGATCCGGAGAATAATCGATGGAAAGTTGTGACTCAAGCTTCACGGAAGAGATACGGATGCATCGGAGCAGCCGTCGACGGAGTTTTCTACGTGATCGGCGGATTGAAAATCGGGAATGAGACGACGACGTCACGCGCCGGGGCTCACGTTTACGCAAGCTCAATGGATCTATTCGATGTGGAATCGCGTCAGTGGCTGAGGAGCCGTTCAGTTCCCGGAGGTGGATGCGTTGTGGCGGCGTGCGCGGCGGTAGGACACGTGTACGTGCTTAGTAGTCACGCGGTGGAGCTCACGTTCTGGAGATTCGACGGGAGACGAAATGGCGGTGGATTTGGGGAATGGAGTAGGTTGAAAAGTCCGCCGTTGCCGGCGCAGGTGCGATTAGACGGAACGGTGAGGTTTAGCTGCGTCGGAGTTGAAGATAAAGTGGCGGTGATTCAGGTGGTGGGATGCATCGACGATTTGCTCCGGAGGAGTGGGAGGAGCGAGAGAGGGCTGAGAGAAAGCCTCGTGTTGTTGTACGATACGGTGAATGGAGAGTGGAGAAGAGCGGCGGATCTACCGGAGATGATTACACGCGCCGCCTGCGCGTGCGTGGAGTGGTGAAATGGGCCCCAATGAGAAGTATCCGGCGCAGGATAAAGGGTAAGGAGAAGTGGGAAGAGGCTAACGTACGCAGGATTAAAGGGTAAAGAAACAATATCATGATGAGGATTGGTGCATGTTACTCTACGGATAGGAGTTTTGGATATCGAGGGAGGAAAAAAGCAAACGACGTCTTGAGCTCGTGACCTTATTGGCTGATTTGTCTCCCAATCAATATAAACAAAACTTTTATCACTTTGGATTTTGTTTCTATCACTGTTGTAAACTTGTAATTTTAAAAATGAGTCAAGTTAAAAACGAGAAAAATCTTTCCAGATTTTGTTTATATCATTGTAGTTTTAACTAAAAATTGGAAACAATAGTCGGAGCTTCTCTCTCTAACTTCTCTTTTAAATTTCTTTTTAAGAAAAACTTTCTTCTTAAACTTTTCAGAGCAAATGTGAGTTGAAGTTCCGGCCGGTGATGTGGGCTTCCATAGCCACATAGCCGGTTCAGATTGTGTGTGTATATTTGTTTTCTTTGTGTTATAATTTTCTTTGTGCTTTTACTTTCCGATTATTAGATTAGATTTTCCGGTTTGGCCGGATCTGTTTTTCGGTCTTCGGATTTGTGTTTCCGACTTGTTTCGGATCTTCTTCGACTTTCGATTTCTAATCTAAATCCCGTTTGGATTTTGTTTCAATTCTCCTTCTTTTCGTTATGAGCTTCAATTGTTTTATGGGCGTAAATCTACACTCGCCATGATTGGCTTTGAGGAGTAAAATGTCTCGATCAAGACTTCTGGCCGAATTCGTCTGTGTCGTAGGTCAGTTTGGAGATTTCCCTATTTTTGTAACGACCAAGGAGTAATGTTTTCAGAGACCTGCGGTTTGTCAACGAAAGGTGATTTCAGAGATTACAATGAAGCTTGCTGGCAGTGTTGAGCCGTCGTGGTGGCCGGCGGTGCTTTTCCAGACGGTGGAGGTTGAAGATATGTCTCGACAATTCTGGAGAATTATTCATCGCTATTTGTTTACTCTGATAACTTTAGGTCACTGTGCTTTATTTTGGGCTTCACTTGTAATTTTCTGAGGCTTTAATAATATATGTTGTCGGC